CAGTGGTGGGCCCAGGACGTACCAGTACCCACCTGCAGGCACCAGGCCCAGGTAGTAGAGCTGGAACCTGAGGTGCAGGTGGTACCACCAGCGCCGGTACAGGGCGAGGAGGTGTACCGTGTTGGCCAGCACGCCCTGGCTGGCCTGGCCGGCCTCCTGCTGGGGCCACAGCAGCTGCGCGAGGGCCAGCAGCCAGCTGCGGCGCGCCAGCACCTGCTGCAGGGCCAAGTTCTCTCTCTCTAAGGCAACACTGAGGTTCCTCGCTGACACCCCCAGTGCCGCCACCGCTCCCACCCCCGGCAACAACCACCCCCTGCGGCACGCCGCCCCCAGCGACCCCCTGCGGCACGCCGCCCCCAGCGACCCCCTGCGGCACGCCGCCCCCAGCGACCCCCTGCGGCACGCCGCCCCCAGCGACCCCCTGCGGCACGCCGCCCCCAGCGACCCCCTGCGGCACGCCGCCCCCAGCGACCCCCTGCGGCACGCCGCCCCCAGCGACCCACTGCGGCACGCCGCCCCCAGCGACCCCCTGCGGCACGCCGCCCCTAGCGACCCCCTGCGGCACGCCGCCCCCAGCGACCTCACCAGGAGCCCTACTAGCAGGAAGGGTGCTGCTAGCAGGAGCCTCGCTGCCCGCGTCACCAGCAGGCCAGTACTGGCCGCCCACCACCAAGCCTCCCTCAACCCTCTCACTGAACACACTTCACACATTGTTAAAGTAATTGTGATAATGTTATTAAAACAAACTTAAAAGGCTCAATGTAATTTTATGTTAAAATAATAACAGTGTTATAATGGAGCGGAGAGAGATTGTCAACACTTCACTCCCCCACCCCAGGGGGAGGGGGGGGGGGGTAAGGCAGCCCCTGCCCGCCCTTCTCCCTCCCTTACCATTCCCTACCTCGTCCCTACCCCTCTATAACCCCTCCTTAACCCAGGGAGTAACGGAGGTGTGTCACTCAGTCAGGTAGTGACGGAGGTGTGTCACTCAGCCAGGGAGTGACGGAGGTGTCACTCAGTCAGGGAGTGACGGAGGTGTGTCACTCAGCCAGGGAGTGACGGAGGTGTCACTCAGTCAGGGAGTAACGGAGGTGTGTCACTCAGTCAGGTAGTGACGGAGGTGTGTCACTCAGCCAGGGAGTGACGGAGGTGTCACTCAGTCAGGGAGTGACGGAGGTGTGTCACTCAGCCAGGGAGTGACGGAGGTGTGTCACTCAGCCAGGGAGTGACGGAGGTGTGTCACTCAGCCAGGGAGTGACGGAGGTGTGTCACTCAGCCAGGGAGTGACGGAGGTGTGTCACTCAGCCAGGGAGTGACGGAGGTGTGTTACTCAGTCAGGGAGTGACGGAGGTGTCACTCAGTCAGGGAGTGACGGAGGTGTGTCACTCAGCCAGGGAGTGACGGAGGTGTGTTACTCAGTCAGGGAGTGACGGAGGTGTCACTCAGTCAGGGAGTGACGGAGATGTGTCACACAGCCAGGGAGTGACGGAGGTGTGTTACTCAGTCAGGGAGTGACGGAGGTGTCACTCAGTCAGGGAGTGACGGAGGTGTGTCACTCAGCCATGGAGTGACGGAGGTGTGTTACTCAGTCAAGGAGTGACGGAGGTGTGTCACTTAGTCAGGGAGTGACGGAGGTGTGTCACTCAGCCAGGGAGTAACGGAGGTGTGTCACTCAGCCAGGGAGTGACGGAGGTGTGTCACTCAGTCAGGGAGTGACGGAGGTGTGTCACTCAGCCGGGGAGTGACGGAGGTGTCTCTCAGTCAGGGAGTGACGGAGGTGTGTCACTCAGTCAGGGAGTGACGGAGGTGTGTCACTCAGTCAGGGAGTGACGGAGGTGTGTCACTCAGCCGGGGAGTGACGGAGGTGTGTCACTCAGTCAGAGAGTGACGGAGGAATGTCACTCAGGGAGTGACAGAGGTGTGTCACTCAGTCAGGGAGTGACGGCGGTGTCACTCACTCAGGGAGTGACGGATTTGTGTCACATAGCCAGGGAGTGACGGAGGTGTGTCACTCAGTCAGGGAGTGACGGAGGTGTCTCACTCAGTCAGGGAGTGATGGAGGTGTGTCACTCAGCCAGGGAATGACGGAGGTGTGTCACTCAGGGAGTGACGGAGGTGTGTCACTCAGGGAGTGACGGAGGTGTCTCACTCAGTCAGGGAGTGACGGACGTGTCACTCAGTCAGGGAGTGACGGAGGTGTCACTCAGCCAGGGAGTGACGGAGGCGTGTCACTCAGCCAGGGAGTGACGGAGGCGTGTCACTCAGCCAGGGAGTGACGGAGGCGTGTCACTCAGCCAGGGAGTGACGGAGGAGTGTCACTCAGCCAGGGAGTGACAGAGGAGTGTCACTCAGCCAGGGAGTGACAGAGGAGTGTCACTCAGCCAGTGAGTGACAGAGGAGTGTCACTCAGATATCTCCTCTCTGGTAAAGGAGAGAAAAGATGTTAGAATATTATTACAAAATAGTAAAGCATTTATTGAAACAAAATATATTTTAACGA